TTGATCAAAGATTACTGGTAGCTAAATATTGTGAGAAATTGGAAAAATTTTATTTTGAATAAATTTGTTTAATTAATTAATTTAATTCTACTAATTTGATTCAGAAAATGTTTGGACTTGGTACCGAAGGAATCGTAAAAAAATATCAAACCGATTTAAAAACCTATATTCCACCAAATATGTCACATACGGCATTTGATAAAAATATGAAGAAAAATCGTTACAAAGGTTTACTGCTTTTATTTAAATCTTTTTTTAAAACTTTCCAATTTTAAATTTAATCTGAAATGAGTTTTATTTTCTCCCAATATTTGGTTGATAGTTTATGCATGTATTGATGAAAATGTTAATTGTTAAAACAATTATTGGTTAATTGGTTGAATAATTAATTAAGAAGTTTAAATATTAAACGAATTTACTCGGGCTATAGTTCATTTTTGTTATAAATGAAATGATAATAACAATAATTTTGGAAATTTTCAATCGATTTTCAATTATTGACAAGTATACTTCTAAAGTTTTCCAAACAATTAAGTTAATTATACATTAATGATAATATCATATCATTTATATATATATATATATTCTAATCATAAGTAAGATATGCTTAGCATACAATCTAATGATTACGGTACAGAAAAAAAATAACTGCCAAGTATTAATGATGCATATGATATGTTGCAGATGTCATATGCCTTGATAAGACACGTGTTGTATTGCAAAATGGAGAATCTGACTATATTCACGCAAATCACGTTAAAGGCGATCCATTCCTAAATCCATTCATTTGTACTCAGGTAAAGCAAATAATTATCTCAAATAATTTACAACGAATTTTTTAAATGTGACTAATTAATTTTTTAATATTTTAAACCAAATTATTTTATGACTTGAATTTTTTTTCTTTGCATTTTTTTCCTTTTCTATTAATTTAATTTTTAGTATTTTTTCGATATTATCAAAATAACTTTTTTTTTGTGATTTCCTAAAATTACATATTATTTTCAGATTTTATTTTTAAAACTTTTCAAAATGAAATTTCTTAAAAATTTTCACAAAAATATACATCAGTGCAATTTTAGAAAATACATTTGTTATTGGAAAATGAATTAATATTAATTATAATTAATTAATTGATTATTATAGGGACCAATGCAAATAACAGTAAATGATTTCTGGATTATGATAATGCAAGAAAAAGTAAGTAATATTATTATGTTATGTAATGTTCGTGAAGAAGGCAAAAATAAATGTTTTCAATATTGGCCACAAGATGTTGGTTCATCGCTTACATTCGGAGGTTAATTAATTACCACTAAAATTTTTTTTTTTTTTGTTCATTTTATCTGCCAACAGTTTTTATTCATTT